TTATTCCACTGACTAACTGTTCTAACTGTCTGGAAATTTCTCCTTAATTCTAGGTTGCTTTTTTCCTTGATTAGTTTCTACCCACTGCTTCTTGTCTTACCCTCAGGTGCCTTGGAGAATAGCTTGACTCCCTCTTCTTTATGGCAGCCCCTGAGATATTGAAACACTGCTATCATGTCTCCCCTAGTCCTTCTCTTTACTAGATTAGCCATGTCCAGTTCCTGCAACCATTCTTCATATGTTTTAGCCTCTAGTCCCCTCCAGTCCTCTACATCATGCACAAACTAATACTTTTATTGCTACATAAATAATGCTAATAGTTGCATAAAGCCAAAACACATCACCTTTTTAGCTCCATTATTTTTTTTAAAAAAAATATTCCTGTCCTAAAAAACCACCACCCGTCTCATTGTTTTGTCGAGAGCTGTCTTGAATTCAGTGTTCCGGATTGTGTAGATGAAAGGGTTCAACATGGGTACAAAGCTGGTGCGCACAAGTGATATGACTTTATTCAGTTGAGGATCCCCATGGGTAGAAGGACGCAAGTACATGATCATGTCTGCTGCGTAGAAGATAATTAGAACGGTGAGGTGGGATGCGCAGGTGAGGAAGGCTTTGGAGCGTCCAGTGGAAGAAGAAATCCGGATTATAGCAGCTACAATGTTCATGTATGATAGCAGGGAAAGGCCAAGGGACCCCCACATGAAAGTGGCACCATAGATGAGACCAATTCTCTCTATCAGAGTGGTATCAGCGCAGGCCAATCTCAGAACGGGTCCGACGTCACAAAAGAAGTGGTCAATGACGTTGTCCCTGCAATAAGGGAATGTCCATATCACTACGGTCTGAGAAAAGACAATCAGGATCCCAGCAATCCAAGACCCCAAAGCCAACTGAAAGATGAATGGATTGGTCATAACCATGTTATAGAGCAAAGGCTTACAAATGGCCATGTAGCGATCAAAAGACATGATCGAGAGCATCAGGAACTCAACCCCTCCCATTGCAAAGACGGTGAAAAATTGGGCCACGCAGCATGCAAAACAGATGGTGTTTTGACCCAAGATGATATTGGTCAACATTTTGGGGATTTCTGCGGAGGTGGAACAGATCTCAGCCAGGGAGAAGTTGAGGAGGAAGAAATACATTGGCGTATGGAGCATGGGTTCCATGATAACAACAAAGATGATTAAAGTGTGCCCTAAAAGGGACAGAAGGTACATCAGTAGAACTACGGTATAAAACACCATTGTCAGCTCCTGTAACTGCGGAAATCCCACAAGAATGAACTCTTTGACCAAAGTCACATTGGCCATCTTCTTCTTTCCTACAATAGAAAGGAGACCATAATGTAAGAAGAAAAAACAACTTCCTGAATAAAGGGGAGCCAGTGTTACATAACATTTCTGATACCCAGGATTAATATCTGAAATTTCACATGGGAATAGTTTTTGAAAACTCCAATTATCTTTCAGAATCAGTTACCAAACGTAGACTCGCACAATTGGCAATTTATTTCTTATAATCATGTAAGCGAAATAATGAGAATTGTTTGCATGTCAGAAGCACCGCAATTAAAATAAGGCACGCTGTATGACATAACATTTAAAATATAAAATTCAAGATGAAAATATGTACAAATTAAAGAGACCTTGCCCAGAAACTAGCAGCATTAATTGTGTTCTACGGAGTTGTTGTGCTAGCAACAGCACTTAGATTTATGTACAGCTCCACAGTGCTTTGCAGACCTCTCTAAGTGGTTTATAGAGTCAGCATATTGCCCCCAATAATCTGGGTGCTCATTTTACCAACCTCGGAAGGATGGAAGGATGAGTCAACTTAGAGCTGGTCAGAATTGACAGAGAAGGAGGAGGAGGAGGAGGA